TGTTGATCTTTTATGCTTCCGATAAAACGATCAGCTTGCCTTTTTTTTAATCTCCATGCCAATATTCTTAAATGTTTTGAGTTGTTTAATTGGGTTTTTTTGCGGAATTCAAAATCTTCTTTAAGTAATTCAGTAGTTTCCATTGTCTGTATTGTTGATCTTTTATGCTTCCGATAAAACGATCAGCTTGCCTTTTTTTTAATCTCCATGCCAATATTCTTAAATGTTTTGAGTTGTTTAATTGGGTTTTTTTGCGGAATTCAAAATCTTCTTTAAGTAATTCAGTAGTTTCCATTGTCTGTAGTCGCTTTCTAGATTCCAGGAGTTTTCTATACACTTTTTTGCCACATGTTCTTTTGTGTGTTTCTTCAAGTCTCTTGATCATATTAATCAGATCATTTTTAATTTTCCTCTTTTCTTTCCTACAGGTCGCTAGCAAGGAAATACAGTGCCCTCTTAAAACCGCTTTCGAGGCATCCCAGATGGTAAGACAATTTACCTCATCTTGTGTGTTAGTTTTAAAATAATTTATTATTTCTTGCCGCAAAGCATATTGAGTCTCAATATCATACAGTAGCATTTTATTAAATTTCCATGACCGCCCCTTAGGCCTAGACCTGTTAAATCTTAGTTTGCACCTCACCGGCGCGTGGTCCGACCACTTTTTGATGCCTATGTCTGCTGAGACTGTGTGATTAATTAGTTGTTTCGACACTATAATATAGTCGATCCTCGAGTAAGACTTATAACGAGTTGAATAAAATGTATAGTCTCTTAAAGTTTCATTTTTGAGCCTCCAAATATCATATAGATCAAACTTCTGTAAGATTAAGCTTAGTTGGTTTCTTGCATGTGAATTCTTAAGTTTCTGGGAAGGGGATTTATCCATACGTTTATTCATCAAGTAATTTAGATCTCCTCCTAATAGTATTGGTCCTGTGTGAAATTTATCTAACTTTTTCAGAGTCTCGTTGATAAATTTACATTACTAAATGATGACCATAAATAGAACACATTAGTTTGCTAAAAGGTTGTTGTGGTGTATATTTATTTGTTACTAGACTCTCCTTACACTGCAGCTCGGGTTGCTTCAACCTCCAGGTGGTGGCTGGAAGTCTCCTGGGATAACAACTGATCTCCAAGCAACTGATCTCCAGGCAACTTGGAGAAAATGGTCACTTTGGAAGGTGGACTCTGGGGCATTGTACCCCATTGAATTCTCTCCTCCCTCCAGTTTGGTGTAGTGGTTAGGAGTGCAGACTCTAATCTGGGAGAACTGGGTTTGATTCCCCAATCCTCCACATGCAGCCAGCTGGGTGACCTTGGGTCAGTCACAAGTTCTCTCAGAGCTGTTCTCTCACAAGGACAGTTCTGGAAAGAGCTCTCCCAGCCCCATCTACCTCCCAAGGTGTCTGTTGTGGGGGAGGGGAAGAGAAAGGGATTGTAAACTGCTCTGAGACTCTGGCTAGTGAAGGGCGGGGTATAAATCCAACCTCCTCCTCCTCCTCAGGCTCCACCCCCAAAATCTCCAGGTATTTCCCAACTTGGAGCTGGCAGCCCTATCAATCCTACAAGAAATAGCTCCTTGCAGAAAGCTGTTCCTTCGGCACCTTAACTATGTTTGGTTTTGTTTCACCTGCTCAAGGATACGGAAAAGGTCGTCTGTATTTGCTCGGGGGGTTTTTGCGGGGGGGGGGGGGGGCTGTATTTTGCCTATTCTGAGACTGCTGCGCCCTAAAATCCCTTAATATCGTATGCTGGATACCGTTTGTCACTGAGGGTTGCCAACCTGCAGGTGGGTCTAGCAACAAATAAATATACACTGCAAGAGATTTTTACAAACAACCATGTTCTATCATACTATAAAGCAGAAGCGGGCTTGCAATTCCGGAAACTCCCATTGGGGCTTGACTTTTTAAATAGGTAAAGGTAAAGGTTCCCTTGCTCGAAAGCCAGTCGAATCTGACTCTAGGGTTGCGGTGCTCATCTCCATTTCAAAGCCGAAGAGCCAGCACTGTCCGAAGACATTTCCGTGGTCATGCCGGCATGACTAAACACCAAGGTGCACGGAACACTGTTACCATCCCACCAAAGTGGTGCCTATTTATCTACTTGCAATTTCTTGCTTTCGAACTGCTAGGTTGGCAGGAGCTGGAACTAGAGACAGGAGCTCACTCCGTCATGCGGCACACTCGTGTCTCGAACTGCTGAACTACCGACCTTCCACAGCCTGCAGTTCTGCGTCTTAACCACTTGAGCCATCGCAGCTTGACTTTTTAAATACTGATGCGTAATTGACTGGTAGTTGTTAAACCGAAAGTATTGAATGCATGTACCTGACAAGGATGTAACAATAGCGCACTAAGCACTTTATAGTATGATAGTTACTAATAGAACACTATTAGTGAGCAATTTGGCTGCTGCATAAATCAGTGTGCTCTGGAGCCCTCCTTCCTGAGCGAAGACAAAAATGTATGAGCCGGAGGCTAAAAAACTGTGAGCTAGCTCACACTAACTCAGCTTAGAGGGAACACTGCTTGCAGTGTATATTTATTCGTTGCTAGACTTCCCTAACACTGCAGCTCGGGTTGCCAAAACCCCATCCTCCCCAGGCTGCACGACCAAATCTCCAGGAATTTCCCGACCCAGAGTTGACAACCCTAGACCCTGTAATGTTTCACTGTAGTCCAGGGATACTCAGGGATACCCCTACAGGCAGTCCCAAAGCAGTGGGCTGTGGGGCAATTTAAATCATCACATAATTAATGAGCATATAACTAAAGCCCAGCCTCAGCTGGGAGGGCAGGGTAGAAATCTGACTAAATTAAAAAAAAAAATTTTTTTACTACCTGGAAAGAAGAAAGGGATTTGGATTTTTCAGCTCTGGCAACAGCCGTCTTGGATCTCATCCAATACCACCAATCTGATTACAGATTACTGAGATTATGTATATGAAGCGCTTAAATTTGAACACATTCTGTAGACAGGCTCAGAAATATTAATATCGCTATTAACTGAATGTACCTCATAAATGGCCGAAGGCTCTGGTTTTGATTTCTTTCGATATTGGATCTGGGGAAGCAAAACACAGCAAGAGTTAAATGAATCAGTCTATAAACTTCGATGTAACCGTAGGGTATAAAAGCAACATTTAGAAATTTTTAATAAAAATAATCCACCATAAGCAAAATAAAGAACTGAATTATTCAAGAAGGTTTTTCTATGCAGACAATAAGAGTTGCGCTGTACTAAATTATTCACAAAGTTACTTGGAAAAACTGTTAGAAGAAGAAGAGATTGGATTTATACCCCACCCTTCACTACCCAAAGGTGTGTCAGAGCGGCCTACGAACTCCTTTCCCTCCCCACAACAGACACCCTGTGAGGTAGGTGGGGCTGAGAAAGCTCTTGACAGAAACTGCTCTTCTTCAAGGACAGCTCTTATCAGAACTACGGCTTGCCCAAGGTCATCCAACCAGGTGCAAGTGGAGGAGTGGGGAATCAAACCCAATTCTCCCAGATTAGAGTCCACGCACTTAACCACGACACCAAACTGGCTCTCTGTGGCCTATTCTACAGTATATACTGTATATACTATGGGATTTTGCAACATTTACTGCATCATGTTAAGGAGCCGTGGTGGTTCAGAGGTTAAGACCAGAAGGTCTGTAGTTCGGCAGTTCGAGACCCGAGTGTCGCATGATGGAGTGAGCTCCCGTCTCTGGCCCCAGCTCCTGCCAACCTAGCAGTTCGAAAGCAAGAACTTGCAAGTAGATAAATAGGTACCACTTCGGTGGGAAGGTAACAGTGTTCCATGCGCCTTGGCGTCTACTCATGCCAGCCATATGACCATGGAAACGTCTTTGGACAGCACTGGCTCTTCGGCTTGAAAACGGAGATGAGCACCGCCCCCTAGAGTTGGATTTGACTGGCTTTTGAGCAAGGGAAACCTTTACCTTACTGCATCATGTTAACACTCAGGGCTATTTTTGGGCAGGAACGCACAGGAACGGAGTTCCGGCTGGCTCCCAAGTTGGCCACGCCCAGCAGGAACTCATTAGCATAATAGGCCACACCCAATAGCAGAAACTCATTCGGATGGGCTACATTAGAAAGCCCTGGGTTTTGACAACAAACAAGGTAAACAGAATAAGAGGGGAAAGGTGGGTGTGGCTGGATGACCACACTTCTGGTAACATGGTGGTGTAGCCTAATGGGCTAATGAGCGGTGCTGTCAGGGTGTGGCCTAATATGCTAATAGGTTCTTGCTGTTGGGTGTGGCCTATTATGCTAATGAGTTCCTGCTGGGCTTTTTCTACAAAAAGAGCCCTGTTTAACACTTATGCTTTGCTCTGGTTCTGTTTTTTAGACTTGCGGATGGTTCTACAACCCAGATCCTGTTGCATTGTTTATTGACTGTCCCATCCTCTCGATCGTATTGACTCACTCTGTGTAATTTGCCTTGAGTCCAAGTGAGAAAGGCGGATAATAAATATAAATAAATAAATAAGAGAGATACATCAGTGTACAGGTGACCGTACTACAGTGAATCCACCTTTGACATCAGTGACCAACCAAACTCTGGAAGTTCATATCGCACACGAAGCAATATTCCATACTTATTTATACAAATGCAACCTTTTACGATTTGTCTTTCTCTACGTTTTCACCTCCCCCTTCCTCCAAAAATCTCTGGGTAGCACACACAGTTCCCCCCCCCCCATTTGATCCTGTGAGGTAGGTTAGGCTGAGAGAATGTGACTGGCCCAAGGTCACCCAGCAAGCTTCCTGGTTGTGTGGGGATTTGAATTTGGGTCTGATTTGGGTTCGATACAAAACAGAAGGCTCTGTCGTGTTGCGAGAGCAGCCAGGTTCGAATCCCCACTCGTGCCAT